TAGCAGATGGCTTTAGGCTGTCTCTTCTCATCTACCTGTCAAAGAGGCCACACCCCAACTTTAAGTCTTAACCAAACAGGTGAGTGATTATAAAAGCTAGAGAGCCTGATACAAACAGTTTTCTGTACCAGGTTGTAAACCTGTTAATTAAAATTTTGAAGTTTGGCATTTTGAGAAGGGGGTTGACTCTGTTTTAGAGTCAGGCTCCAGACTCTATATTGTTGTTGTTCAGTGAGTCATGGCATTAACTTAAGCCTGTGCTTTGTTTCTCAAATACTGAAAACCGGTTTTGATCCAAATGTGAGGGTGTATTTATAGCTTTTCTTTCTTGGAAGGACTGCGCTCTTGTTTGAGACCAAATAAGCTCCAGAGGGGAAAAAACATTTTTTCTCCCCAGCACCTGATCAAGAACTCACTGTATTTCTGATACTAAAACTTCCTTTGTTGGATAACAAACTGTAGCTGCGTTGTTGTTATTAAGATGTCAGCCTACCAGTTGGTGACACAGCATCAACAAACCACAGATGTGATAAAAGGAGCATATTTGACGTTTTCTCCAGTGACATGTTGACTAAACCAGACCGACTGGACTTGTAGTATTCTGCAGTATCTGATTGTGATGAACTGTTTTTCTCAGGTGGTGAAGAACAACTTGAATCCAACATGGCGGCCGTTTCGAATCCCTCTGCAGTCTCTCTGTGGAGGAGACATGGAGAAGCCAATAAAAGTAAGTAAATGATTTCAATCCACTGGGCACCTACAATCACTCTGATTTTTCTTGTTGAGTTCAAATTCACTGTTCTGCTTTAGAGCTGTCGGAGTAAGTGGTACTTCAAAACATACAAAGTAACTAGCGTGTTACAAATTAGCTTGATGATTTTTTTTTTAACCTCTGAAGCAAACATGTCAGGAAGGAAGCACTTTCCCACCATAGAGGACAAGTGAGTTATTTGTGAATCAAAGTATTTGTATTTTTACATCTCTCCATCGTTTCCTGTGTGATGTGTGCGTGAAAGGAGCAGATTGGGAACGAGGCGGTGTCTCTGCAAGGTGCTCGCCACTTTTATCAAGTTTACCATTCGTAAAAAGCAACACATACAAGTCCAGTCATTTTACTGTCCGCCTCTCTTCAAGAACACGTGGAGTACAAAGTGTTCATTTGAGTGTTACCTTTGCATGTTGTTTGTTTCTTCTGTTTTGTTTGTCTGCAGAGAGGAACTTCACCAAACCTTTTCTCATTTGTCTATAATGGCATCCAGCACTGCAGATTGTTTTAGTTTTCATTCAGAGGCCTCCCAGTTACTGAGAATAATCCCATTTCCATAGAGAAAGTATTCTTAGCAAAGTCTGGTTATTTATTACTTCTACTTTGGGTGAACTGACCCTTAATGGAAGATTTTCCCCTCCAGTTTAACTCGATCATGACCAAATGTTTTTGCCCGTTTTCAGGTTGAGTGTTACGACTACGACAATGACGGGTCACATGATCTTATTGGAGTCTTTGAGACGACAATGAGACGCCTCCAAGAAGCCTCACACACTTCTCCGGTATGA